TTTATTAAGCCAAACTTCGTTGCAAAAACTAATTAGGTAATTTTAGATCTGTCGTTTGTTTCGTCACTGTGCAGTACTCGGACATCGACGATTCGGATTACGAGGAAAACCAACCGGAGGGCGAAATGATGGCGCGTGGCCGTTTGTCTGGCAAAGTGTACAAGGAATATTTGTATCACGGCGGCAATTACCTCGTCCTGTTCATGCTGCTGTTGTTATTCGTCATCAGTCAGGTAGCCACCACTGGGAACGACTACTGGCTCTCATATTGGACCAGCTTGGAAAACGTCAGACGTAACAAGGGTACGCAACAAGTTGAGAAGGAGTACGAGAGCATACGCAATGATAGCTTCCTTGGTTCAATCTTCACCCTGGAACAGGATGGCTTGCTCGGCACCGTAGATGCCATATACGTCTACACATTTTGCATCGTTGCCTGCACCATCACCACCCTGCTGCGCAGTTTTCTGTATATGAAGATCTGCATGAATTCGAGCCGTAATCTTCATAATATTATGTTCTTCAATCTTCTGCAGACACGGATGTCCTTCTTCCATAACAATCCCTCCGGTGAGTAGACGATCGTGAGAATTCCGAATTTCGGCAAAGAAGATCACAGAAAATTGGATTGGAAAATAATTTTAAGTTTGAAATGAGAGAAATTTTATATATAGATATGTTTTTGTCTTATCTGTAATTACTTTACTAAGACATCCCGTAAAGAAATAAGTGATGTAGTGACTTAATTTATAAGATGATAAATATATTTGGTATACTTCATTTTATATTTAGATAAATAAATAAACTTAAATTTAGTTTTGCATTTTATTTAATAAATAATAACAAATATTAATAAAAAAGTTAGAATTAGTAAATCCATGACAATGTTTCATGTCATTTAATTTAATATCTATTCATTTATTGTTTAATATTTATGATATGTCAAATATTTTTCCGAAAAAAATATACATTTTAAAGATGTTAATGACATATTTCTCAGTTTTGATGGTTTTAATGATGCGTTACGAAACAAGTATGGCGCCATCTTTAAAAAAATTACAATTACTTTTTACAGGAGTTCGAGGCTTTAAAAATTTTTAATATTTTTATTATTATCTGTAAAATAATATAATAATTATTAACTATACGCGGTTAATTCGTAATAGGAAGTTCTAAATCACATCAAGCAGCCTATATCAATTTGTGCATTTTACTCTTTGGATTCTTTTTTTGAATCTTATTTAAATTTAGTGATTGTCCTTTAGGGAGAATTCTGAACAGATTTTCAAAGGATATCGGCACCATGGATGAATTTTTACCTAAAATAATGTTGGAAGCAATTCAAGTGGGCTGCGTAGTGTGCGGTATAATGGTTATGGAGGCGATAATTAATGTATGGATGCTGATACCGATAGTAATACTAATCATCTTATTTTTCTTTGCAACAAAGTTTTATTTGAAAACTGCTCAAAACGTTAAACGTCTTGAAGGCGTCAGTAAGTATTAAAACAAATAACTCATTATTAGAAAAAAAAAAAGGATACGCGCGGCAAAATGTCAAATACTTGATCCCTAGATTTCTTAGATTGTTTGATTTTTAACATCAATTGTTTCGTTAAAAAAATTTGGACTTTCAGAGCAATATAGAGAAGTCGAGAATTTTATTTATGTAAAAATATTATATATAAATATATAAATATAAATATAAATATATATATATATTTTTTTTTATTTATATATTTAATTTGGCCTTCGGACTTTTCCGTATTATAGTTTACAAAGAGGTAATCTTGATCTTCATCTACTAATTTCAAGTTCTTATTTTTCTCTAGGAATTTAGGATCTGCCAATTTAAAAAATTTTTGAATTTGCGTTTAACTGTGCCTTTTCAGCGAAAAGCCCATTATTCTCGCACGTGAATGCCACATTGAACGGTCTGCCGACAGTTAGGAGCAGCGGCGCTGGAATTGAGAAAATGATGCAAAGGAAATTTGACATGTTGCAAGACCGTCATACTGGTACATGGTTCCTCGTCTTAACTTGTGGGACGGCTTTCGGTATTTTTATGGACCTCATCATGTGCCTATTCGTCGCTTGTCTTTGCTTCCTCCTGGTGCTAACGAATGAGAATGGTAAATCTTTTTTCGATCTTGAAGTCTCTGTTTATCTATTCTTATTTCTGCATTAAATTAATATTTGGAATAACAAAGATTACACAGGAAGAATGATTTTGTTGAAGTATTTACATTAAATTTGATTTGGATATAGATTTGAAAGTGAGTCGTTATTAAGCCATCAAAGTTGTTACGTAGAACGCTAAAGTATAATGGTAATATTGTGAAAATTTAAACGTCCAGTATAAATATTTGGATTTGGCAACAAAATTATGTTCAAATCTGTATTTGACTGAAATTCGTAAATGTTTCAGCAAAATTGCTTTTTCACGTAATCACGAGTCGTTGTAAATCTTTTCATTGATCCTTCAGACAGCACGGCCGGCAGCAAAGCTGGTCTGGCAATATCGCAATCGATGATTTTGATCGGTTGTCTGCAATACGGCCTAAAACAATCTACTGAGACATTATCGTTGATGACGTCCGTGGAAAGAATTCTTCAGTATACGAATCTTCCTAAAGAAGAGCCTATCACTTCGAAGAAACCACCGCCACCCGCATGGCCGTCTCAAGGACAATTGGTTTTAAAGAATGTCAACATGAGATACAATAAGGATGATCCACCGGTTTTAAAGGTAAGACAAGATCGGATTTTGACAAATGTTTCTTTAATTTGAAAATTTTTTTTTACCCTTATTACATCTTCGTGTTCACTTTGCAGAATTTGAACCTGTCCGTCGAGCCAGGCTGGAAAATCGGCGTGGTGGGTCGGACTGGTGCTGGCAAGTCCTCCTTGATCTCGGCTCTTTTCCGGCTGTTCAACGAAGGTCTGGAAGGCGAGATTAAGATTGACGATTGGGACACAAGCACAGTGGGCCTGAGCGATCTGCGCTGCAAGATCTCCATCATACCACAGGAACCAGTACTCTTCTCTGAGAGTCTGCGCTACAATCTGGACCCGTTCAATCAGTACGATGACATGAGACTGTGGGAGGTGTTGCGTCAGGTCGAGCTGAACGATCTTGCATTGGACCAAGACGTCTCCTACGGTGGCTACAATTTCAGCGTCGGCCAAAGGCAACTTATATGTCTGGCTAGAGCCATCCTGAGGAACAATCGCTTGCTCGTTCTCGACGAGGCTACAGCCAATATTGATTCGCAGTGAGTCTTGTGATATCTCATTAGAATTATTTCCTCGGCAAAAGTGTCTAAGTCTTTAAAATGCTGCCTGATGAAGATATATACGTTTTTTTTACTCGGTCGATCAATTGCAAATATGGATATGAATAAATTATCATACAACGATTAAGATTTTCTACATTTGTGCATTTTCAGTATGAATATTTATTTTACATAATAAATGAAATTTGAAATTTTAGAGAACATTGTTTTGGATTACACTGAATTGGATTTCGAGCAAATATCTATATTCGGTATTTGCTGAAGCTGCCGGAAATATTTGGATTTTTAATGTTAATATTTGTGAATTTGTGAATTTCTAAATTTTTATTTCTATTTCTAGCACCGATGCCTTAATTCAAGACACAATAAGAAGCATATTTAAGGAATGCACTGTCATTACAATAGCACATCGTTTAAATACCATTATAGACAGTGATCGAATCATTGTGATGGAAAATGGTACTATAGTGGTAAGTTTTTTTATTTCAATGAATTACGAATATGTTAAGAAAAATATTTTATGAAACACACCTAAGAAGAACAATTCTTTGTTAATAATTATAATGAAAATTTGGTTATAATAATTTTGGTCAGTTATCAGCAAAATTTTATTTCTTAGAAAAAGAGAAAGCTTGCATATTTAATGAAAATAATAAAAGATCAGTCAATATTGTTTATTGCTTTTTGAATTTTTACATTTAGGGTTTTAAGAAGGTTAAAATAAAGTTAAATAAAGAATTGTAACACGAAACATATCTAGGAAAATTTTGAGATTAAAAATAACTTTTTTTTATAATTTATAATGTAATTTCTTTGAAATCGAATAAATATCCTAGGAGAATATTTATTTTTTTCAAGAAATACCAATGTTACAAGTATAAAGATTAGAAACTTTTTCAGAGAAAAATCATTTACATTTGGAAAATCAAAATTTTCACGAAATGTCACAGGAATTCGGCTGTCCGTACGAGTTGTTGCATAATAAACCAAGCGGCTACTTTTCTCAAATGGTGGAGAAGACGGGCAATCAGATGGCGCAGAGTCTTTTGGAACAGGCGAAAAAAGCATGCGAAAGGAATAATGATCATCGTGAATTGGCCCTATCAACACAAAATACCGAGGGCGAGAGCGACGTCACGATCACAGAACAATCTGCTCTGTAGATTCTTTTTTGTAGAGAAAAATAAATCTATATACATAATTTAAAGACATAAATATTAAAATTATATATAAATAATTATATACAATTTTATGTACATATATTCTTTAATGTCAATTTGCGATCAAATTTGTAAAGAAAAGAAGAAACGAAGAATGAAAGAAAGATAGGAGAAAGATATTAGATAATATAAATCAAAGATAAAAGATATACTTTTATCTTTAAATAATATATAGTATATTACATATCAATTTCGATTTTTAGTTTTTATTTATTTACGTTACTAATTGTAACGTAAATAAATTAGTCTTTATTGTAAAGACAAAATAAGATTAGACACTATTTTTTTCGATATTTTTGTCAGAGTATGTTAAAATCAAACAGTATTTCTTATAATTATTACATAACATAATATAATATAATAATTATAAGATATAAGATATTATAAGTATTTATATTTGTGTTTATTTGGAATGCTAGTAATTAGTTTTTCTATTCAGTTTTCTTCTCCTCATCCTTGCATAAATTAAATATTAATATCTCTATAATAAGTTAGCTACAAATACAGCAAAAGTTTAATTCTTTTATGTATAAATTTTATGTATTATAACTTATATACAGCAAATATGGCTATAAGATAGAGAGATTTTAATATTGCAACATATTACAAATTGCAAAATTATTACAGATATACTGTAATCATATTATAAGATTTAATAGAAGCTGTTGTGTGCAAAATATTATATCAATATCATAATTCAATCACGTACTTATACAGCACACTTTGTACACTTACGAGAGACATCTTAGGAACGTTCTTAGAACATCCTCTTATCTTATAAGATAATGTCTTCTGAATTTTTAGAACAGAGAACTCCCTTGGAGATCTCTATTGGATATAATATTGAAGAAATATTGTAAATATATTTTTTTGGTAACATATTTCGTAATACTTTAATAAATTAATGTAAATGTAATTTTAAATAATTGAAAAATAAACTAATATTTATAATTATTATTTTTAAATTATATATTTTTAAATTATATTTATAAAATATTATATGTTTACTGGCAGAATCCCAAGTAAACACAAATTAATCGTCGAGTAAGCTAACCAAAATTTAGAGAAAATTATTCCGATGATTAATGATAAAATATATTATAAATATCTCAATCAATTAAATATTTAATATTATTTAATACAAACAAAATGCTTATATACTGTTTTTCTATTCAAATCTTTTCATACAAAGCAATCTTGATAACATCGAAACAGAGTCAAAATTTATATTTGCCGAATTCATTATATGATCTGAATCTGAAAAAGTTGTAACTCGCTCCCCTCATTATATATAATAATGGCGATATGTACAAAATAAACAAAATAAACAAAATAAACTTTATTTTCACAAATAAATGTTAAGTACATTTTGTAGATGCACTTACTTTTTAAAATCGCATTATTTCACTCATAAAATTAACAGATAGAAGTGAGACGTTATTGATATATAAGAAAATTAAAAATTAAATCCGCACATATATCTTTCTTCGCAGAAAGAAATGAACGGGGCCCCTCGCTTGCCCAAGATCCCAAAATATCAAGTAGTCTTCGAGACAATAAACCGGGGATCGTAAGGACGATTATATAGCCAGGCGAATAGTCGGGAGCCATCCAGAAGAAAAACTGAACGATGTTGCTTACGCGAATACAAACAACTTGTCAAATGCGGCTCTCGTCTTCATGTTTCATCTGTGAAAAAGCATATGGCGTGTGTGGCGAGATATATATATGCAGATGTGCAACGTCGAAAGCGAACGGGAAGAGTAATGACGAATATAAACGACATACACAGAACGGGCCAACTGACCCAACTAGCCCCATTAAGATTCTAGCTCACCAGGTACGCGTTGTTTTTTCGGGTCCTTGTAGTCGCAACACCAGTCCAGTGCGGCAATTCGATGGTCATCGACAATTTCACGCACGACGATGATCCCGTTCGATGATTCGCGTCACATTGGACGGCTACTTGTTGCCGCTTGTTGTTGATCGTGATCACCCTAGAGAAAGCAATATTGGTAAATCAGACGGGAGTCGGACCGGTCGGACCGAGCTATATAAATCAATCCGCACTCGCACTGAGAGATTTAAACTAAGGCCTTATCTATCGCTTCTTTTTCAGCTTCAACAATGCGTTTCGTTTATTGCTCGATTATCGGTATCGTTTACTCAAAATCGTGCCTACTTGATTATCGAGTGAATTAGTTATTGCTACTTTATTCCTCTGACGCCTCCCTAATACGATTTTAAGCGCTTTTTTTTTTTTTTAGCTACTTGTCTCAATCTAATGCCGCGTGTGTGAAAGCGGCAAAATTATTTATTTATTTATGGGAGCTGAAGCTAAGAATAATTCGTTTCGTTACTCCAAATACTTGCGAGAAAAGTGTGAATTTGAATTGATCTTCTGCATATTCAGTTCTACGCATATATTTTTTTTTTTCCTCGGCTATCAATTTTATATCTTACTCTCTGTGCGAACATTTTTAAGAGAGACATAAAGATAAAGAAACGCAACCCCGTTACGCAGTTGATTGGAGTCTACTTTGCAACCTCGCCTACGATACATCTTTCCAAAAAACAACTCATTGTTATATGCAACTAATTGTCATTACGTTTATTATTCCGCTAATTCACTCTTACACTCGATAAATGCAGTAGTTGAAGTTCCGTCTGTTAACGATTGCTTTCTTAACGAATTCTGATAGATATATATGTATATATATGTCTTTTCTTTGAAAATAGAAACTTTTCACAAAGAATGGATAGATATTTATTTGTATTTACTCACCTGAAATTTGGGTTGAGGTATACTCGAGCATTTGATTTTTCATTTTAATATTTACAATGAATGTTTTTCGCATTGTCTCATTACATTTCCTGCTCGTTCTCTTTTCCATTCATATTTTCTCATATATAGCATAATATAGCTTGTTGTTAACATTTATCATTCGATCGACCTCGAATCTCTCGTCTTCGAATTATCGTTACTCGGTTTCTCGGGAAATACGTGATTAAAAAAAAATTAGTGTGCACAAAAAAATGTTATATATAACAAATTACTACTTGTACTTGTCCCGCGTGAAAAATTTAATGTAATATATATATATCTCTTACGTTATGTGATCAGCTGAGCCTTAAGCAATTGTCACTTAGTAGAACGAATTTAAAGAAACTTTTTTTAGCCAAGCTCTACTCTTTCTCAAGCTTGTATCTGTTGTACGGAGTACGAAAGTGTGTGCAATTAACGAAAAATGATTGATTTTACTCACTTTGGGTGCCGGTCCAGTCAGCGCCGCGAGTGTTTTGCGGTAGCGCTAACTGAAATTGCACCCATCGATTTATCGATTTTTTTCGCCTTTTCTCTTTTTAAGCGAGGGAGGGTTTTCTCTTTTAGCGAATTTCGGCGCGTTCTCGCTGGAGGAACGACATATTCTGTCTCTCGCCATCTCTCTGACTTTCATTCATTGTTTCCTAAGTATCTCAGCTTGTCGCTACGCCTGTGAAATAAACTCAATTTTCAAAGTCAAGTTTGATCATTATTTAGTACCTTAAGTACCTCTCGCCGCTTAAACTCCATACCCATGCCTTATCGTCACTCATTCTAATAATATTGTACTTGTATCATCACAATTGTTCTCTCATCAACTGTATATTTCTTAAATAATAATAATAATAATAATAATACTCTAATATAGCATCGTGTTAAATAATACAAATTGAAACTTTTAAAAATTATACAAGAGGGCAACGATGGGCTACTTATTAAATATCTGGGCTTGTCAATTATTTCTGTCAATTATTTCCAACGCTATGTTTATGACTCAGGGGGTGAAATATGCCTGAAATAGTAATGTCATTGTGTAAATTAATATGTAAAACTTCTAAGAATAAAATCTTTAAAACTTATATGATCTTATATATTTATACTTTCTTATAGACTCGTATAAATATTCTTCTTCATATTTTCTACATTTTACCTTTACCTGTTTCTAACTAAACCCTGGATATTATGATTTCTTAGATTCGGGTCTTCGCTTTTCGTCCATGTTTTTTTTGACTAGTTCGGAGTCGATTTTTCCTTACTGAAAAGGTCGAAGGAGGATTATTATCTATCTCGCAACTTTAAACGTTTTTAATACATCTTTAATTAATTTTTTATCCTTCCAAAACCATCATAAAAAATTTCATCTATTCTCGAAACTTACTTACTCCGAAAAAAAAAAAAAAAAAAACTATTATTCTCGGTTGCAACTCGTTGACACGTTGCTTATAATCTAAAACGATATCCTCGGAATATCTTTGATAAGAAAAGATCGACTCCAAATGAATTCGATGAATTCGTACACCGAAAAAGAGTGTTCGGCATCTCGAATCCAAAATTGTCTAATCTAATCTAGTGTGTTTCGCAAAAAAGAGCTCTCATATCCTACTTTTTTTTTTCTTATATTAATGATCCATTATATTAACGAGATAATTTTTCATCTCATTTGTCATTTATTCGCCCATTATTTATTCTTTATAATTGGTCTGTCTTCCTAGGGCAGTTGCTGGTTTCTGTATGTACATATTTCGTCCATTTCTCTTTGTTTTCTCCTGCCATAAAGAGGTGATAACAAGGGTAAGGGTACAAGTTTTTAATGTATTGATATTATCGGTCTCCATTTTTTTTTTCCAATGTTTCTTTCATTTCTATCCAGCAATAGTTTACAATAAGATCGGAATATAACATGATGCGCTATATAGTTATTCATAAAAGACATGGTCGTATACAATAAACACAGTACAAATTAGTCAAGCAAGTTTTCGTTAATTAATATAAAAATAATGCACGACAGAGAATTAGACATAATATAATTGAATTATCAAATTCATTATTCCATTCATTTCCTTATAAACAATTCTCTGCCGAGGAAATCTTAAGTATAGAAAATTTGTACACTTTTTTCTGCAATCAGTTAATTTTCAAAAGAAAGAACAAAGTTATATTGCTTTCGTTTAATTTCATGAAAAATTATTTAAATGGTCGTTGATTTAATATAACATTAATATTTACTAATAATTAATTAATATAATTGCGACGTCATCTAATTACCAGATTAGATTGCAGAATTGTTATTTATCTAATTATATAAATTATAAAATAACTGACTCTAACATTAATAAAAATTACAATAAATGGTAAAATAGATAATTTTGTCAAACAATAAGTTATTAAACATTGAAACATTTAGCTTCAAAAAGAAATTATCAAATCTTAGTTAAATAGATATAAACTTTTAATTAATTAATAACTGATATGACAAAATTGTTTCAATTTCTATTGTTATTTTAAATTTTAATTATCTCTGTTCTAAATCTTTCCAGAATAAAGTACATTGTACAGTTCTACGTCGCGCTATTTTTTTTTTGTTGTGACTTTCTGCTCTTCACAAAAAAAGGGTTTATTTACGAGTTCTATTTACAAAACAAGACGTTGATTTTACACTTTTGCCATTGTCATTATATTCTTTAGTTACTGTTGTATTAAATTACGCTACGCAAAATCTTAATCCTATATCGTCGTGTAAATACGACGAGTAGTAAGAAGTAATGTGGTGTGTATATGCCAACTGTGTCAAATATAAAATATGTATTTCCTGTTGATGTTGTCATATCAATCGATTGTTTTATACACATGGGATGACGACAAAACAAACGAGATGCGGAAAAATCCTGGAAGCAAAATGATGCAGGGAAATCTCGGAAAAGCTGGAAAATCAGCGAGAAGAAAACGTGTTCCGAGGAACACACGAACTTATCCAGCCTAAACCTTTCATCAACAAAAAATATAATATACTTATATATGTGAAATCATTTTGGTATCTGTCGTATCATTATCAACTTCCAACTTTTGTGATCAGTCTTTTATTGAGATCACTCAATGCAACTATCAAGAAAAAGACAGAGAAAGAGAGAGAGAGAGAGAGAGAGAGAGAGAGAGAGGAGGAG